GCATGATGCTGTTGCCCCGAGGACTCCACCTCCAATTCCGTTAGCGGAAGTCAGAACATGATGTCTGAATTAGAAATCTGACCTTGTCCAAGATCAGCAGGGAATAAACTTTGTCTTCCCATCCATCCTCACCTGTTAGTGCCGTGTCCAGCTCCACTCTGAGACAGCCCTTGACACTGGCCACACTGCTCTTGAACTTTCACAAGTTTTTTCTCAGTGCTCACCTTGCTGGTACACTTCAAGCCTCATGCAAGTCGTGCCTTCCTCACAGTTTTATTTTGTATTTTCTTAGTTTCTCTAGTTTTCCCATGTGACCTTACGTTCTTTTATTTTTTTTTTTGGTAAAGATTGATTTTTATTATTTTTTCATTAGAAAGGCGGATATACAGAGAGGAGAGACAGAGAGGAAGATCTTCCATCCGATGATTCACTCCCCAAGTGAGCGCAATGGCCGATACTATGCCGATCCGAAGCCAGGAGCCTCTTCCGGGTCTCCCACACGGGTGCAGGTTCCCAAAGCTTTGGGCCGTCCTCGACTGCTTTCCCGGGCCACAAGCAGGGAGCTGGAAGGGAAGCGGGGCTGCCGGGATTAGAAGCGGCGCCCATATGGGATCCCGGGCATGCAAGGCGAGGACTTTAACCACTGCGCCACCGCACCGGGCCCGACCTTACGTTCTTAATACAGGATTTATTGCACTATTTTTCTAATAAGAATTTATTTGTTTATTTTGAATGGCTGTCCTCGACTGCTTTCCCAGGCCACAAGCAGGGATCTGGATGGGAAGTGGAGCTGCTGGGATTAGAATCAGTGCCTGTATGGAATCCCAGCATATTCAAGGCGAGCAGTTTAGTCTCTAGGCTCCCTGCGCTGGACCCCAAAATGATTTATGAGTATTTAGTTTCCATAATTTTAGTCAAGAAAAGATTTGAGTTCTTTCTACATCAGATATGATTTTAATTACCAGGTACACAGCAGTGAACATAATTTTTCTTACAAAACAGACCTTCCCCATTTTGGGATTTCCGTGTGTAGCCTCCCCTTCTTTCCTGAGCATACTCACACGTCTCACATCTAGTGCGCAGCGTGTGATGGGGGATGTTCCTATTTTTATTGACTATTCAAAGCATATTCTGTTTGGTAGATTCTAAGAATCCTGTTAGAACAGGGGCTACAGAAAATACAGCGCGTGTTTCTTTTCCATAAGCAGTCTAACAGAGCAGACGACTGAATAGCACTAATACCCTTCCGTTAACACTAGCCCGTGCAAGGAGCAAAGTACCATTCGTGGCACTGCTTCAGCACAGAAGACGCTCTGCTTTTGCCCGCCTCGGCGAGAACTGGCCACTGCTGCGAGCAGTTGTGGCAGAAAGGGAAGCCAGAAAGCAGATGGAGCCATCTGCTGCCTGTTCGCTCGTTTTACTAAGTCGGTTCTCTTAATCATTATTTAAAGAGTAAGGTGCTGTGTGTGCTGAGGCTCACTCCTCAGAGTCCTCGTTGGTGTGACCTCACACGGGGCTTTTGTGCTCCCTTGATTTTTTTTGACAATCTTTACATAGTTCATTAGGGTAAAAAGGCTCAAGGGCTACAGGAAAGTGGGTAAGACTATCATTTCCATATTGTTTCCTTCATGTATCTGAGGTAAAGGGGGATATTGAGGGAGAAGCCCAACCAGTTCCCACCCACCCCAGGTCCCGGATATAGGACATGTTCTGAGATGCTTGCTCAAGTGGTTTTGACAGTTCACCAGTTATGAATCGCTGCCAATCTTGCCACTCCAAGCACAATGGGGTCGCTGAAGAATCCACTGATTGACATAGTCTATCATAGAGTCTCCGTTTGCCCAGTATTTCACTGCCAACATATGGCTGAGGTGGTTGATTGACTTGTTCTGTCTTCTGTCTTTTTTGGTTAGGTTCTGAATCCAGCAGTTCGTTGGGGGGGATCCACAAATAAACTTCGTCTGAGGTGTTCCCAGACCAGATTCTTGTATGTTCTAGCAAGCACAGGGCCTGGCACAGTCCATTGCCCCGATCAGCTGGTGGTTGCAATTGCTGGGTTGATTCTGTTTTCAGCCCCAATTTGCACTGGAACCAATGGGTGTTTGCAGTCCAGCCTGGTTCTGTCCAGCACATTCTCAGCCCTCACATAAACCAGTGGGAGCTGCAGCCTAGTCGGTGTGCTCCTTTGATTTAACCTGCACTGGCACTTCACTGTGCTGGAGATGTGGCCAGATCTGCACTGGTCATGTGTCATGCGAGACCAGCGGGGTGTGACTCGGCCAGGAAGTCTTCCTACATGGCTTTCCACATCATGGAGTACAGTGTAGTTTGACAGAAGGAAATGGTAGACGTCAGGGTGTGGAGAGAGGATCCGAGTGCTTGTTGCAGTTGTTGACTGTATTGCGCCCGCCTGGGATGGGGAGCATTGGCTGTTGGGGACTAGGACGGGAGTGGGTGGCTCGGGGTTTCTTCATCTTTGATCTGTCCTGCAGCTCTCGCATTCAGTAATTCTGACACGCCTACCAAACACGATAGCCTGTGACTTTCTGCTTTAAGAATTTTGTTACCTTTAGTTCTTACCCAGTGAGCAGGCTTAAACACACAAGCAGCCCAGGTCTTCCCTTGTCTGGTTTTGTCTGGTTTTGAATTTTAGTTTTCCTTTTCTGTGCTCTGTTTGTTCACCAAGTCCTTAAGCATCTTCTTCCTGCCCTGTTGCTCCTGCCACCATTCCACCTTCCACCCCTGGGATTCGCTTTACACGGCCACTGTCCTCCAAAAACTAGTGCATTGCCATTGTCTTCCCAGGAAAGGGTTGAGTGGCATCTGTCAGTCCTGGCTCACATTACGTACTTACATAAGCTTGAGAACAGTTAACTGACAGCAGTGTCCTCCGTGGGCCGTCGCTCATGTCGTTCCCTGCACTTACGCCTCTCCCTCCACTGTCACAGTCTGCCCAGCTTAGGAGCTACTTTCATGAAACCAACCTTCTCACAGCACCGGTGGCCCTTTTTGGGGAGATATAATGATTACATTTCTTATTTTCTGTAACATTTTCTCTCCTGATTAAGCTGTGTTAGTACTTAAAAATTGCTACATTATCTTAGAATGGTGCTCTGTAAATATTTGAGTGAATGTACTGTAAATATATGTTAGAGGGTTTCTTTTAAGTACTAACTAGAAGGTAGAGGTGGGCAGGGGGTAATCTGCGCACAGGAATTGATGAGATGGTATCAGAATGAGAACTGTTGCCACGTGTGTGTTAACAATGTCTGTGTTTGCACTGAAGGCAAGCACAGTATTTTCAAGCTGGCTCCTTGTCTTTGGCTTTGAGGTTGGTCTGCCTGAGTTCTCAAGGCAGTGCAGGATACCTTTCTGCTTGTACTGCTTCAGATGCTTTGTGGTTCTTTGTGTACCAGAACAATGTGCAGTTTTTTGTCTTGTGGCTTTTTTTTTTTTTTAAACTTTAAAGAGTTAGAAAAAACAGATCTTCCATCTGCTTGTTCACTCACCAAAGAATCGAAGCAGCTGGAGCTGTGCTGATCTGAGACTGGGAGTCAGGAGCTTCTTCCAGGTCTCTCACGTGGTGCAGGGCCCAGCCCCTACTTTCCCAGGCCATAAGCAGGGCACTGGATCGGCAGTGAGGCAGGCAGCAGGGCCTTGAACCAGCGCCCATACGGATACTAGTGCTGCAAGTGGAGGACTAGCGCACTGTGCTATCTTTTTTAGAGGGAACATTTCAAAGATTAAAGTGAAACAGTTAAAATAGTTCACAAACTGTATTCATTTGGTGTGTCATTGAAGTCACAGCTCGGGATACTCCCCAACATATCCAGAGTTCCTGGTTTGAGTCCCAGCCACTCCTCTCTGATGCCTTCGCCCTGGAAGGTGGCAGTGAAGGCCCTGTAACCCACCTGCGAGAACAGCTGCTGTCCTGGCTTGCAGACATGCCAGCCAGGCCCTCTCAGGTGCAGGGGTCTGGGGGTGTGAAGGTAGTGACTGGAAGAGGTCTCCATCTGACAGGCTGGCTGGCTGGCTGTCTCTGTAAAATTGTTTATAAATGTTTATTATTTGTATACTAAATATGGACTGCTTGGGTTTTTACACTGAGATGAGAAATTGCATCTTGTGCACATCTCTTTATAAGTAAAAGTCAACAGTTATGCTCCAGGCGAACGACAAGTGGGGCTTTGGGAGGCGGTGTGCGTTCGGATGTGCAGTGACTGGTTGGAATGCAGGTGGATGTCATACAGGAGACAATGACCTGAAGATAATTCATTATCTCAGAAAATGTTCAAATCTTCCTGACTTTTCTGGGGGGCGGTGTGCGAAGGGGAGAAAGGACGCAGTAGCATCCTTCAGCTAATTTCAGTTTTGAGTACTTTACTGACTGACCAAATCCCAAGCAAAGCAAATCCATCTCACATAGAATTACACCATTAACATGGACTCCTTTCTCTCCAAATATTGGTGTTATTTCTTAAAGTCTGCTAGTATCAAGTCATGTGGCAAGTGTGTCCACAAAGCGGAAATTGCCACAGCACCTACCATCGGTGCTGTTTAAGTCAAGGCTGAGTGGCTGTTATTAATACTACTGCAGATACGGACAGTTTTATTGAAATTATTAGATAAGTGAAAAATGCACTATAGTCAATTACATATACATAATCGTTTCTTTATTCTCTTGTCGTTAAAATAAAATGTTATAGCTTAATTGTGCAAACTTACTCTTCGATTATGTAACTAACCTTGATTTATTTAAAAGCAGTGCATGTGTTTCTTCTGTGCAAGTCAAGGGAGACAGGCTGGATAAGAATCATTGGGGCAAGTAAATTCCAAGGGAAAAGCAGAAGCTGGAACTTCAGGTGCTCTTCAAGCAGTGTATGGGAGGAAGGGTGTGGGTCACAAGCGCTTGCTGGAGGCATTTCCTTGCGACTGCTGTGGTGCTGTGTAAAGAAATCCCCGGGAATGTTCTCAATCTCCGTCTCCCTTCTCATCCCCAGGAGTTAGAAGCCGCTCTTCACCGAGATGATGTGGAGTTTATCAGTGACCTGATTGCCTGTCTGCTTCAAGGCTGCTATCAGCGAAGGGATATCACGTGAGTAGGATTTCTTGCACAGGGATCTAACTAAGCCATCACAGTGCTGTTTGCTTTCTCCTGTAACACGCCAGAGCCAATTGTTAGCCAAGGTATAACTGTGTAGACTGAGTATAGATGAATTCCCAGGGCCCCCTGATGCGATGGCTCATTGGCCAAATCCTTGCCTTGCACAAGCCAGGATCCCATATGCGCACCGGTTCATGTCCTGGATGCCCCATTTCGCATGCAACTCCCTGTTTGTGACCTGGGAAAGCAGCTGAGGACGGCCCACAGCCTTGGGACCCTGCACTCGCATAGGAAACCTGGAAGAAGCTCCAAGCTCCTGGTTTCAGATCACCTCAGCTCCGGTTGTTACAGCTTCTTAGGGAGTGAACCAGCAGCTGGGACCATCTTCATCGCTCCCTCTTTCTATAAAACTGCCTTAACAGGTTTATCCTACTGTGCCCCTCTTTGCTATGTCTATACAGAATATAACCACAAAGCCAATTTTTTCTTATTTTTTGAGATTGACAAGGAAGCACGCCCATGAGAACCACTGATTGGAGTGAGGATGAGTTGAGGCATGGGAGAAGGTTGGGGAGGTGACACTGTGGGCGGTGATTTAGCCTGCTATGCCACAATACCCACTCTAATAAGACTTTTAGATGACCCAATGTGATAGTCTTAGAGAAAACCTAAATGCCATGCCTCCAACTCACACATTTAGTCATTTACTCCAAAATGTATTTATCTTACAGTTTGTATAGGTCTAGCTCAGATTGCTTTATACAGCTATGATCAAGGTACCAGCTGTGACACTGTCATCTTGAAACCTTTGTAACACACACATACAGAAGGAGCACATTTCTTAATGACACATACAGCTCAGTGAATTCTCACACTGAGGTCACTGGGGCCTTTTCCTTCCCGTGCCTTACCAGACTAGCTGCTGCTTTGGAGGGAATGGCTGGAGTTCTAATCCAGCCCAGGTCTGCCCTTGCAGCCTTGTAGAGTGTGAACCAACAGATAGAAGGTCTCTGTTTCTCTGTAACTGCTATTCACATAGAAGTGAATGGACATTCTGATGTATGCTTCTTTATTACTTCATTAAATTAAATACTCAGTAGGAAGTCTGATCTTAAGATCAATATCTCCAGTCCTTTTTTGAGCTGGCTGCAGTATCCGTAATAGGATGTTAGGATTCGACTTCTGTTGAAAAACACACTAAATTTATTGTGGTCTTGTTGTCCGCATCCGCATTTGTTATCTGAAAGGTAAAAAGGGAGAGACAGAGAAAGAAGCCTCGGCGCCTGTTGGTTGGTTTACTCCTTGAATGGCTAGTAGCCAGTGCCGCCCCAGTGTGAAGCCAGCAGCAGGCGCTCCGTGCAGAGCCCTGAGAAGGCGGGCCACCCTGCACTGCCATTGCAGCTCTAATACCAGGGAGCCGGATCGAAAGTGCAGCTGCTGGAACTCAAACCAGTGCCCATATGGGATGGCAGCATGGCAGGCGGCGTCTTTAAGCACTATTGTCACGCTCAAGTCCAGTGCTTGATTTTTTTTTCCCCCCTTTGAAAGGCAAGATTTACACAGAGGATGAAGTCTTCCATCTAGTGGTTCACTCCCCAAATGAAAGGCTGGGTTCCTGTCACCCATGTGGGAAAACCTGATGATGTAGTGTCATGCTTATGACTTCAGGCTGTCCGAGCCTTGGCTTCTGCAGGCATTTAGAGAATGAACCCATGGATGGCCGTTCTCTCCAAGGGTTACGCTCTCTGTCATTCATAGAGGATGAAAGTAATCGATACCTTTAAAAATGATTGAAACCAAGAAAAGGGGGTGGGCGACGCCAGGCTGAGCTATGCTGCAACACCTGCCGGCAAGAGCCAAGACTAGGGAGAAGCGATGCCAGGCTAGGGCAAAGCACCAAAACTTCCAAGATCCAAGGCTAGGAAAGGGCCTGGTAAGCAGACTCTTCCACTAGGCTACAGCTTCTGTTTGTGAGCACAAAACAAGGGTTGGGAGTGGATCTGGGTGGCCTAGGCTGCAGTACCCACTGTTGAGATAGGCTACAGCACTCACCAACACACGTGATACCCAGGGCTGGAAACAGGCCTTGTACAAGAACTGCTGGCTCACAGTTTCAGCTGGTGAACACGAGACCCAGAACAGGTGCAGGCCAGGCTTGGCTAGGCTGCAATACCTGCTGGTAAGTGTTGAGCCTGAGAGTGGATCATGCCAGACAGGGCTACAGCACCCACTGACAAGTGCTAGGACAGGGTGAGTCAAGATCAGAATGGACCATTATACCCTCCTGGAAGCGCATCTAGGGTTGGGAGCTGGAACAGTAGGGAAACTGTGGGACCATCCCTGTTGGGCTGCAGCTGCTGGTGGTAAGCGTAAGAGCCAGGGCTAGGGGCGGGCCAGGCTGGACGAGGTAGCAGCATCCATTGGCATGTATGTGGGCTCATCTGGGACAGGACAGTCTAAGCTAAGCCATTTCACCTATGGGTGTGCTTTAAGAGCCAGATGGGATGCTGGATGGGCTGCACTAGGCTGCAGCACCTGCCAGCACACGCACCTACTAGTGCGGGGACAGGCCTCAGGTGGGGGTTATCAGGGGGTCACCCCAGCTAGGCCACATCACCTGTTGATCTGCGTGAGGACTGGGCCTGAGTGGTGCTGGGCTGGCCTAGGGCATAGCACCCATTGATTTTTGTGAGAGTTGGATTGGGTGGGACTTGACCAGCCAGCTGCATCCACTAGTATGTGCATTGCACTGCTGCAAGTGACAGACTGACCTGACCATGCATTGGCTGGCAGGCACAAGAGTCAGATCTAACGTCACTTCAGCATCGTTTCATGGAAGACTCCCCAACTAGATCCCTGGACTCAAACCCTGGCCACAGGAAAATCACAAGTGGTCCGATCTTAAAGTACGTATATCAGGATTGGGCCTCTGCAATTGCCGATGTCTGTGCAATGGATAACATGCCAGTATGCAATGGGGGACATGACAGCAACTCTTCTAGGCCATCAGAGGGTGTTGAGTGCCTTGTAAGAGGAAGGCAAGCAAAACGGGTTGGACAGCTCTCCTAACCAAGCTTTGCGGAAAATGTCTGGGTCTGTGGATGTGCCAAGGTCAGGTAGATTTGGTCAGCCAGTAGACCTTGAAAAGATATTATCAAGCCTGGTGGGTTGTAGAGAAGCATAGAGGCATCTTCCATCCACTGGTTCACACCCAAAATGGCTTCAGCAGCTTGGGATGTCCCAGGCCAAAGCCAGGAGTCCAAAGATTCTTCTTGGTCTCCCAATTGGTTGTAGAGCCTATGCCCTTCAGCTGTTGTCTGCTACTTTCCCAGGTGTGTTATCAAGTTCCTGGCTCGGAAGCTGAGCAGCCAGATTCAACCATTGCCCACGTGGCATCCTGACAGTACTAGTTAGCTGCTTCGACCTCTGTGTGACATAACCTTCACATTTACCGTTATCTTTATTCATAAAAGCATGGCATAGTTGAGCACTGGATTAGATATTTAGGAATTTCTGCTTTGCTATTAGCTGTAAAAGGGATGATAAGATTGATAAACCATGTCTTGAACAATTTATGTATTTAATTTTTGCAACCAAACTTTCCCCCTTTTATCAGCTCTCATCTTTTGTAGGAGTAAGTTTTATTCGTGTGGTGTATCCTCGCTTTCTTTTGGTTTACTTTCTCTCTCTCTCTCTCTCTCTCTTTTTTTTTTAAGGATTTATTTCTTTATTTTGGGGGCCCCGATGTGATAGCGTAGTGGTTAAAGTCCTCATGTTGCATGCACCAGGATCCCATACAGATGCCGGTTCTAATCCTGGCTGTCCTGCTTCCCATCCAGCTCTCTGCTTGTGGCCTGGGAAAGCAGTTGAGGACAATCCAAAGCCTTGGGACCCTGCACCCACATAGGAGACCCAGAAGGGCTCCTGGCTTTGGATTGACTCAGCTCCAGCCGTTGCGGCCGCTTGGGGAATGAACCATCGGACGGAACATCTTCCTCTCTGTCTCTCCTCTTCTCTGTATATCCGCCTTTCTGATAAAAATAAATAAATCTAAAAAAAAAAAAAAAAGTGAGAATTGGTATTAGCTTTTAAAAAAAGATTTATTTATTTTTATTACAAAGTTGGATATACAAAGAGGGGGAGAGACAGGATTGGTTTACTTTCTAACTGAAAATTTATCAAAATTAAAAATTTAATTTCTCTGTTAATTTGGCATCCCACATTATTTTGTTATGTAATGGTTCCTAGTTGAGGCCACTTAAAAATAAATGTACCTCAGTGTTTTGGTTTCACTTTTGTTGTTCAAATCTTTTATCTTTGCTAAATGTTTATTTGAATTTACCTTTATTCATATAATTAAGACACCATAACATTTAAGTGTTCAGGCAGATTTTTATTTATTTATTTTTAAAATAATGATTACATAGTTGATGGGGAGGGGGGAAGGGTCAAGGTTTAGGGAAAATTGGGTAAATTGTTTACTTCCAAATTTGCTATTTCTTCTATTCCTGGGGCAACAGGAAAAGCAAAGGGAGAAGCCTCTCACAACTTCCCGTATGTCCCAGTGCCCGCGGATGAGGAACCGCCACCTCACATCAGCCCAGAGCCTCAGTGTGCACATTCCGAGGGTTCTGGCCAAGTGGTGTGGACAGTTCTGAAATGCTGCCGATTTCACTGAGTCAGGAATGGTGTCACTCCCCAGTGTCCATTGGCTCCATTCACTGAAATCTGTTGCCATCATCGTTTGTTTGTGGTTGTAGTCCAATTAGATCTGTTCTTCAGCTTCAGCACCAAATGTGCTGCCATATTCTTTCACAACAGGACCCGTGTCCACTGTTCCATGTTTTCATTAAGTAGGGCATGTCTTGCAGGCTCTCCAAGTAGCTGGGCCAGGTGTCCCAAGCATTGCTGAATCCTGCTGCACTGGGTTTCATGAACCCGGCACCCATCTGGCAGGAGGGCACTGGAACCCGGAGCAGGAGACCTAAGCCCCACCAGATCCCCCACCACTGGGGCTCATGAACCCGACACCCACAAAGTATGTGGATCCTGGGACCCAGGCCAGAAGACCCAAGCCCCACTTTATTCCCCATTCCCCACCCCAGGGTTCATGAAACCAACATCCACCTGGAAGGCGGGCCCCAGGATCGTGGCCAGGTGACCCATACCCCTTCAGTTCCCCTTGTCCTTGGGATTCATGTACCTGGCCCACACTTGGCCCCGGCTGGCATGACTCATCTCACCTCAGCATATTCAGTCTTATTGCACGACCTGGCCTAGTCTAATCAGGGAGATTCTTTTTGATGCAAATACAGTTAACACCTGCTCAAGAAAGCAGAGCATTTTCATCTCCTCTTTTTGTTGTTCATCTCCATTGTGTTAACACTTCATACCAGGCAGCCACTGATCTCATTTTTACCACCATACACTAAGTGTTTGGATTTTAAAAATTCTTTTCATATTTATTACACAGGTGAGGGTGTTATAGACTGATGTGGGCCTCCAGTTAGGGTGGAGAGGGTTGGGTAGAGGTGAGTTAATTGTAGTTTTCCCTCCTGTGTCCATGGTGGGGTGGAGGGGAATAGAGGGTGCTGCTCCTTCCTGTCCTGCTCCAGAGATGGAGACAGTTGTTGGAGGTTGTCTTGGTGGTCCCAGTGTCAACAAGAATGTTCGAGGGTATTACTTGAGCAGTCTTCACTGTTCAAAGAAGTTATTACACCAGAGGTGAGAAATTCATTCTAAGGCATGTTGGCTGTCTGCTTCAATGTGCCATTGGGGCTAAGAGTAGGGGCAGTCCAGCCTGAGCTGCAGCACCCACCAACATGAGCTGGACCTGTGAACAGGTCAGGCTGAGCCAGCAAATGCCAAGGGGAGACAGAGCGTGGAGTGCATGTGTCAAACCTGGGCCTCCTCAGCTGCTGAAGCCTGTTCAGTAGACAGCATGCCCAGATGCACCCGGGAAAAACGGCCGTTCACTGGAGCCTGCAGAGGACATCTAGTGCCATAGCAGAAGATGGAGGGCAGAATGGATTGGACAGCTGTCCCAGCAAAGTGTTGCCAGGAATTATCTGGGTGAATGGAGACTAAGGTGGACTGTGTCAGCCAGTGGACCTTAGAGCAATGAAGTCCACAGCATTTCAGAACTATGGAAATCATTTCAACAGTGCCTTTGGAGCATGCCCCACATCAGTGGCTCTGCCCCATCCCTAGGTGCTGATGCAGTTAGGATGCTGGGTGTAGATTCTCCCTTTATCTACCCCGCCCCCCATGAGATGCCAGAAGAATGAACGGAGTATTAGACGCACTGGTCTCATGCTTTCTCCTGTTCCTCGACCCTTCTCAGCATAATTAGTGGTCCACATAGAAAAATGTGTGTGTGTGTACACACACACACATACACGGGGGCAGGGAGCAAGAGGCCTTCTATCCATTGATCGCTGCCTTCCGTTGTTTTTCTTTATTTTGCTTTTGTCTACTCAAAGTCTGATCTCTGCTTTTTTTTTTTTTTTTTTAAATGATGTTTACATAGTTGAGGGATACATGCCATGTTGGCCTCTGATTAGGGTGCGAAAGGTCAGGCATAGAGGTAGATGGATAAACACATATTTCAGGTTTTTCTTCTTCTGTGTCTGCAGAGGCGGTGGGAGAGCAGGCCGCTCCTTGCTGTCAGACTGCATCAGTACCTCGGGATGAGGAACGGGCTTTATTGTTTTCACATTCTGGAAACTCCGACGTGGAAGAGTGTTCCTGGGGTGTTGCGAGAACCTGAGAGGTTCTCGTTCATGTGGCTCTTATTCATGATTATCTAGAATGGTTGCAAAGAAAATGATGTGACTGTTTAAAGTCACAGGGTGGAGAGGGTTGGGTAGAGGTTAGAAACTCTTGCTAGCGCTTACTGTGTATCTCTCTACCTTCCACGTGACAGTTCCATCTGGGGAAAAATTGCCAATTATCTTCCGTTTTAAAGAGCATTCCATGTTCCTTATTATTTCTTGACCTTGATTGCCCAGCACAAATATCTATAAGCACATGTAAAATCTGTGTAGAATGCATGTTTTTCTGCTGGAAGATATGCAGTGTATTCATTTTTCTCTGATTACAAGTAGTCGTGACTTCTACCTTCTCATGGCTTGCTTGTTATTTTGGGTGTACTGGCAGTGACAGCTACCACACAGTACCACCGAAGAGGTTTTGTTTGGGTGTGGGTTTTTTATGATCTTGAAGAATAAACACTTTGTCATATTTTTTGCAGAGTCTTGTTAAATTTTATTTTATTATCATTTAGTTTCTGTTCTAAGCTTAATTGTTGTGCCTTATTCAGGGACCACGTGCCTCAGAGAACTCAGGAGCCGCCCCCCTCCCGCACCCCACTCCTCCACCCCCGTTTTTTTCTTTTTTAAAGATTTATTTTTGTTGTTGTTGTTGTTGGAAAAGCAGATATAACCCAGCCTGGCTTTTGGTCATGCCAGTATGTGCTGTGGATTGGCCCAGTTGGTCTAGCCTGCTTCCAGCTCCAGCCCTTGCACTCACCAGTAGGGAAGTCCCCCAGTTCCCCTACCAGGCCCAGGTCCAGACCTAGATCTCACACATGCTGGCTACTGCCACAGCCCTACTTACATGTTCTGCCCTCGCTGCTGGCCTGTGCATGTGCCACTGGCTGCTGCAGCTTGGCCCAGCTCAGTCCCCCCACCCCACCCCCCAGCTCTCACAGAAACCAGTGGGTGCTGCAGTCCCACAGAGGCCAGCCCACAAGTCCCCTGCAGCATCTGCCTGTACATCTGAATCTCACATTCAGGTGGGCGCCCCAGCCTGACATGGCCTACCCCTTGCTCTGAAACTTGCAGCTGTTTACTGTGGTCTAGCCCAGCCAGGCATAGTCCCCAGTCTGAGCTTTTGAGCGTGTCAGCAGGTGGTAGATGATACTATTTAGCCCAGACCAACTCTTCCACGTGTGCAGGTGCCTCGGCCAGACCCAGGCTTGGCGTCCTGTTTTCCCCTCTTAAGTCACTCTGCTTGGGCTCTCTCACCTGCCTCAGAGTACAGTGGCCCATTCCATGAAAGCCGCAGTGTAATACTTGCCTCGGTACAAGGAAACTTAGATCGTTGTCTACGACTGGGGGATAAATAAGTAAATCTTTTTAAATAAATAAAAAAATAAAATAGGTGACATTGCTGTCATGTAGCAGGTTAAGTCTCCCTCCTGCAGTGCCAGCTCTGCTTGTAGCCACTGACTTGGATCCCAGCCTCTTCATTTCCTGTTCAGCTCCCTGCTGATAGCCTTGGAAAGTAGAGAGAGGTGGCCCAAGTTTTTGGGACCCTGCACCGATGTGTGCGAGTGGGAAAGGGCTCCTGGCTCCTGGGGAGTGAACCACTGCATAGAAGATATCGCTGTCATTTGTTCTCTGTTAAGTTACGCTATCAACAAAAACAAAATACCTAAATAAATATTTCCGATTGGAAAACTAACTTTTAAAATACAGTGCTCCGTAGCATGCTCTAATATTTACTTGTAGATAAGTTCTCTTTTTGTGAGCCTGCCTATCTATATGAATGGTGTAACCTCTACAAAGGGAAAGGGCATTGTGTCAGCCCTGCAGTCTACGCCCAGACCGTGTTATTTGTGGGGTGAAGTAAAGACGACGTATTCTGACTTGTACTTTGATGGAGTTCAACACAGCCTCCAAGGTGGCTGTCCTGGTGCGCGCAGGGAACCTCGACTGCTTTTCATTTGTGGTTTCTGCTCAGCCTTTCCCACTGTCCAAACACTAGTTTTGTTTGCCCGATTCCCATTTGCTGCTTTTCATTAATGAGCTTTTGTGTGGGGGGCCGTTTGGTTAGGCCTCAGACATTCCACAGCTACCTGGAGGACATCATCAACTACCGCTGGGAGCTGGAGGAAGGGAAGCCGAACCCTCTGCGCGAAGCCAGTTTCCAGGAGCTGCCCCTGCGCACGCGCGTGGAGATCCTGCATCGCCTCTGCGACTATCGGCTTGATGCGGACGACGTCTTCGACCTTCTCAAGGTGTGTACGCCAGCAGCGCTTGCTCTGCGGCAGTGCGGCCACATTCAGACACTGAGAGGAGCCAGAGCTGAGCTGCTGTCACTGACCTCTGGACTCTGACCGGGACATTGTCTACAGAGCTGTGACCACTGCAGCAGAGGGAGTCCATGACCTACATATATACGAAAGTACATATTATCCATATTATTGAGATAGCAAAGACTGAGTCATCTCAGCCAAAACAAGAAAAACTGAGCCACTGATTTTTTTTTTTATTTCCCTAGGATTTGAGTATAATTGAAATATTTATTTAAATCTGCCAGTGACTTGAAACTATATATACTTGTGAGGTTGTCGTGTACGCACACACATTCCAAAGAAAGTGTTTCAGGAGGAAGATTGGGGTGTCTCTCCCCTCTTCCTTTGTTCTGAGAAGCACTTACGGCTCAGATATGGCCTTCACTCCTGGGGAAGTCAGATTCCAATCTTCGTCAAACATCAGTGATCAAATGTATTGGTGATTTCTCAGTTCAGCTTCATATAGGGACACATTATGAAAATCATTGGGTGAGTAAGTGCTGAGAACTTAGCAAGTCATCACCAAGATTCCTTTTCTTTTTCTTTTTCTTTTTTTGTTTGTGGTACACTGAGAGCAAGAGTGGGAATAGGGAACTTAGGAAATATTTTCATATTGTGCTTTTCAGAAGAAGGTACCGCTTCCCTCATTTTCATGTGTTTTATTTGAAAATTATATGCAGTGCTTTGATTTTTCTGAATATGAGTGTTGGTTTTTATTTGGTTCCTCGTTTCCCCAAACCCTGTTTTCCTTTTGTCCTAGGGTCTGGACGCAGACAGTCTTCGTGTAGAACCGTTGGGTGAAGACAACTCGGGAGCACTCTATTGGTATTTTTATGGAACACGGATGTACAAAGAGGATCCGGTACATGGGAAACCTAACGGAGAACCTTCTCTGAGCAGGTGATTTCTGAATATCTGCGCTGCTAGAGCTACTGTATAAAAATGCATCAAAAATTTTATTTATTTTTTTTTCTGATGGAGAGATGGGCTGCACTTGCACACCTTGAGAGAGATAGCAAGGAGTTTAAAAAGGTCTCATGCTGTAATCTCTGCTACTACGACGGTGGAAAATGAAGTCTTTTCAATATGAAATTCTTGACAGGAGGTTCCAAAGGGTACAGCAGGTGTTTTCTCAGTCGTGGCACTTATAATGGTTTCCGTCATCTGTGAAAAACGTTCTTTCCCAGTCAAGTAAACAATCCACTTTATGAACTTTGTGGTCCTGCAGAGGGCTCTAAATGCTGGTAGAAACTTAAAATTTACTTATTCGGTGCTTTCTCAGTAAGGAAGAGGTCTCATTTCTGAAGCTTCAGAGTGACAAAAAGCCACTCTGCCCTTTTATGTGTGACTGCCCCCCCCCACCAGCCAGAAGTGATAATGTAATCGGTTATTTAAGATTCAAATGTAACGTTTTCATTTAGTAATACTGTTTCTTAGGGAAGTTGAAGGTCATAAGAATGTCTCAAATGTCCCTGGCAAAACTGGAAAAAGAAGAGGAAGACCCCCAAAACGGAAGAAACCGCAAGAGGAAATTGTAGTGAGGTAAGCCTAATCTTTTTTTTTTTTTAAAGATTTATTTTTATTATTTTTTCATTGGAAAGGCGGATATACAGAGAGGAGAGACAGAGAGGAAGATCTTCCGTCCGATGATTCACTCCCCAAGTGAGCGCAACGGGCCAATACTATGCCGGTCTGAAGCCAGGAGCCTCTTCCGGGTCTCCCACGCGGGTGCAGGTTCCCAAAGCTTTGGGGCCATCCTCGACTGCGTTCCCAGGCCACGGGCAGGGAGCTGGAAGGGAAGCGGGGCTGCCGGAATTAGAACTGGCGCCCATATGGGATCCCGGGCGTGCAAGGCGAGGACCTTTAACCACTGTGCCACCGCACCAGGCCCCAAGCCTAATCTTATTAGTCTTCGGGCCTCAGATCTCACGCTGTAAGGGACTTGTCCTTGGTCCTTAACTTCTGTTTGTGCTTGTGGTAGGACACGAGACTCACAGCCTGGAAACTTGAATCGGATCCTCATTAAAGTTCTGACTGGGATCTGTCTGCATGACCTGTAATAATTTACATACCCTCCAGAAATATGATTTTCTTTCTGACATTCATTGAATGAGCATTAAGGTGTAAAGAGGACAGTGTGTGGAATGTAAGAAGTTGCAGTGTCGGGGTTTGGCGTTCTAGTGGAAAGCTTGCCCTTGTGATGCCGCTGCCACATGTGGCAACACCCAAGTCCCAGCTGCTTTCCTTCTGATCCGGCTCCGTGCTGAAGCAGTGGACAGAACCCAGGCTGAGACCCCTGCTACCCTCATGGGAGACCTCGTATTCGTCTGGACCATCCCTGGATGGTGCTCATGGTTAAGGAATGAACCATTGCATGAAATACCTGTCTCAGTCTCTAAATGAACCTTTTTATTTATTATTTTATTTTGATAGCCTTTACGTAGTGGATTAGGGCAAAAAGGGTCAAAGGCTTCCGGAAAGTGGGTAAGACCATTGTTTCCACTTTATTTTATTTTATTTTATTTTATTTTATTTTATTTTTTCATTTATTTTATTTTTTCATCTATTTATTTATTTATTTATTTATTTTAGAACTGGGGTTAGGGAAATAAAGGGAGAAGCTCCACCCAGCCTCCCACCATCCTAGGTCCCCGATGTGGGACATGCTCTGAGGGTCCTGCTCAAGTGCTTTTGATAGTCCAGCAGTTCTGAAATGCCGCCGATTTTGCCATTCAAAGCATGATGAAATCTCTCCAGAATCCACTTGCTGACACAGTCTACCTTAAGGCTGGGGGAGATACTGATTTGTTCTGTCCTCTGTCTTCTGTGGTGGTGCCAGGTGTCGTCTGCAGGTTCTGATGGACTGCCACATCCTCCTTGTGCACCTGTGTATGCTGTCCACTGCTCCATCCGAGCCTCTGAGGAGGCTCAGCTTTGACACTTGGCACTCCATGGTCAGACCATGGAACCTGCACATGGGACTCTGTACAGGCAGAGTAACCAAGAGGGAGGAACTTAAGGGAGATCTCCTATCACTGGGTCACTCACCAAACAGCCGTAACCACTGGAGGCGGTGCAGTCCAAAGCCAGGAGCATCTTCTGGGTCTCCCAAACACTTAGGCCAACCTCTGCTGCTTTCATCCTATATTTTAGGCCATTGAACCACGTGAATCTTGGTGAGAATTTGTAGATTCTACCCTGTGCTCTGTAAATGTGCAAAGAAATTATTTTTTCATTGTAAAGACCGAATAACAGAGCCAGAACTAGGTGCAAAATATCGTATGCCACTTTGTTTTCCCTATAAAATAATCTCAAAGAGATTTTGTGGAAGATCAACATGTCCTTTTATATTCAGAAAAACGTTTAGTATCTCAATTTTTCCAGGCATTTCCTACAGTTAAAGACCCTCTATGTTACGAATATAGACATTTTGACAAGCATATATGGATTTGTGCCACCCTCTACTAGTGGCATTGTACCATTAGAGCTGTGTGTTTGAAATGACTTAAGTATTTTAAAATAAGAATTAAATGAATACAATTTAAAGTGTTTGAACACACTTGTCAAAATAGTATTCCCATTTTTTAAGGAAAGTTAGTTAACTGCCAGTATCACCCAGGAGGTTTCATTCTGAATAAAGGCAGTCTGTAAGTGCGCTAAGGTGAACTTGGCCAGCAGGAGACCTTGCAGATTTTCTCAGCCCTGGTGCAGTGAAGCCTTCAATGTCTCAGAACTATTAAAACCATTCAGATTATTCCCTCAGAACATTCTTCTACACTTTGGCATCTGTAAGGTGTCATCAGATGATCGTCCTTTATCCCCAGTTGCTGATGCAGTTCAACAGCAAGCAGCAGCCCCCTCACCTCCCTCCCGACGGAAACAGGAGAAAAGAACTGAACTGAAACAATTGTCCCACCCACCTGAACCCTACTCAGAGGCCTGCGTGAGCATGCATCCCTCTCAACCATAACAATATTAGAAATACATACGTATGTACGTGGGTAGCCTAGCAGCTGAAGTCCTCGCCTTGAACATGCCGGGATCCCATATGGGCACCAGGTGTAAACCCGGCAGCTCCACGTCCCATCCAGCTCCCTGCCTGTGGCCTGGGAAAGCAGTCAAGCATGGCCCAAAGCCTTGGGACCCTGCACCTGCCTCAAAGACCTAGAGGAAGTTCCTGGCTCCTGGTTTCAGATCAGCGCAACACCAGCCATTGCGCTCACTTGGGGACTGACTCACTGGACGAAAGATCTTCCTCTCTTGTCTCTCCTCTTCTCTGTATATCTGACTTTTCAATGCAAATAAACAAATCTTTTTTTAAAAAAATACATATTTATGTACATAAAACGAAAGAATAACACCGTCTTCGGTGTAGCTCTGCATCAGACATGAGGACATTGAAATTCTTACACTTTCTTTTTTGTGGGACTTAACTGCTTAGCATTCAGCTTGGTAAAATTTTATGGTTTCCTATGCACTGATGTTGCCGTAAGATTGGGCACCTGTGTGTGTCAGTATTTTCCCATCTTGCAACATGCCGATAGCCCACTGTCTTCAACTCCTGAACTCATGCCCTTGAAATGTACACAGAAGTTTCTGCGGGAGGCATGGAACAGTTTGGAAATAGAATTGTTTTAATTGGTCTTTTCTTGTGTTTCAGTGAAAAAAAGGAAGAAAACTCGTTGGCATCCGAGCCCCAGGCACGACATGGTAAGGATCTTTGCTGGAGCTTAGAAAGGGTGGTTCAGTAATGAGAGGGCTTCAGAAAGTTGATGGAAAGTGTGCCTTCCCTTTTACTTAACTCTTCTGCAGGTGTGGCCCTCTCCTTCTCCTTCTAGCCTGCCTGCCTGTGTGTCCATTTGCACCTGCGCTGTGCCCTCTGTCTGGACAGCGTAGGGGTAGGGCTAGGTGTTTCACTCGCGCCCTTTCAGTTGGGCACAGTGTGACGGACTCCCAAGCTGTACTGAATCCATCTCTTTGATTTGCAGGGTCTCAAGGACCAGGCCAAGGTACCTGGTGGCTCCTGTGCCAAACAGAAGAAGAATGGAGGCAGGTCACTGAGAGTTTTCGAGAGAGGACCTCCCTTCGAGAACGGCAGCTCTATAAGCTCCTCAGTGAGGACTTTCTGCCCGAGATTTGCAACATGATTGCCCAGAAGGTATAAAGACACTGAACAGTATTCATCCTCTCCTCCTTGGTGAATGTCATGCAGCACTGTGTACTATTCGTTAGAACTGTTGAATTCACTGCACTGTCTTGGAAGTGGCACGGACTTTCCGGTATTCTGAACAGGAGTGTTAATATGGAATCTTGTGCCAACCGCATTTCCCTCACTGGGGGTCCTGTAACATTCTCCTCCTTCCAGGGAGCCCTCAGTGCCCACCACCCAACAAGCCTTTACGTTTCTCAGTGTTCCCTCATGGGAAGGTTGTGGCACGGAGAGTTAAGCTTCAGGTAGTACTGCCCGGGAAGAAGCTGGTGATAAGTGCAGTTCTGGGCATCTGGCGTTGGCCTGCCCCAGCCCTGGCTAGTGCAGGCATTGGGAGTGAACTGGTGGGTAGACGGGCACATTCCTTCTCTCATTCGCACACAGTCTTAGCAGGTCAGTAATTATAGGGATGTATTGCCACAAAAGGATCATCATCTATATATTGTTTACTTAGTTGATAAGGATGCAGGCCCATGGGGACCATCAAATAGGGTGGGGAGAGTTAAGGTATAGGGACTGCTGGGTATAGGGAATGCTGCACATGCTTTCAATTTTCCTTCCATTTTTTCCTCTGTAGGGGAGGGAGGGTGAGGAAGGGGGAAAGAGCCATTCCAGCTGCCAGACTACATCAATACTCCAAGATAAGGGTGTCTACTTGATGTCGCCTTAGAAATCCTTATGTGGAGAAGAATGTTCCATTGGTATTGCTTGAGTGGTTTTTGAAAGTTCCAAAACACTGTTGGTTTTGCTACTCCAAGGTTGAGAAAATCCTTCCCACGTCCATTGGCTGGCAGTTCACCCTAGTGCATCCACTTGTCCAGGTACCTGCTGCCCAGTCTTGTCCAGGAGAGTTTGTCCAACCTGTTCTGCTCCCTGTCTTCTTACGTGGCCCCTGATGTCCTCTGTAGGCCCAAATGAGCTGTCCACCATGTCTCCTTTATGCACCTTGGCATGCATAGGGATCAGCAATTGAGGAGGCCTAGTCATGTCACATGCATTCCAAGATTTATTGGACCACAAATCCAATAATTCTTACTGTGGTCGGAGTTTTGAGTCCTAACCCAGCCATCCGCAAAAAGCAGCTCACACATAGGCCAAAGGTTATTGCAGCCCTGCCCTGGGTCTGTTGCAGCCCAGTCTGCCCTCCAACCCCAGCTTTCATGCTCACCGCTGGAAGCAGTAGCCCATCCACCCAGGTTTGTTCCCGGCCTGGGGTCTTGCGTGTACTGTGGGTGCTATGGCGCAAACTGGCATGTCCCATCTCACCTTAGCATTCATCAGCAAGTGCTGCAGCCTGGCCTGGCCTGGCCTGACCTGCACATTATCCTGACTCTTGAACCTGCCAGTTGCTGTTGCAGACTGGTCCAGCCCAGCCCACCTCCAGACCTGACCTGTATGTATGCCAACAGGTACTGTAACCCAGCCTAGGCTCCACTGCACTCAACCAGGGATAAGCCCACAAACCCTGATCCGCTTATATGCTGGTTAATGTCATAGCCCAGCCTAACATGGCCCACCCTCTGCCCCAGCACTCACTGGCAGGTACTGGGTAAACTTGGTGGGTAACAGCACCCACCAAGATCCCCTAGCCCTAGCTTTTCTGTTTACCAGTGTCCAGTGGCAGTACCAGCTTTGGTGTCTTTTACATGGACGGATGCATTGGTCTGCCCCAGAAAGGTGCTCCGGTTTCCCTCCTCTAAACCACCCTGTCTCAGCCCCCATGCTTACCTGCAAGTGCCTGGTTCCCCAAGACTCACTGCTTATCTGTACCCTGCTCTCTAATTGATCCTCCCTCCCATATGTTCCTATACCCCATTCTCTGAATAATCCGCAGCCCCCGTGCCTGCAGGCACACAGGTTCCCAAACCCTGCCGACATCTGTGTTTCCCCTCTCCACACCCTTATCTTAGAAAAGGCAACTATTCTGGCACACTGCAGGGTTAACAAAAATTTGGCATTAACCAGACCCAGATTGCCCACCAGATATTAACTGCTTTTCTTCTAGCAGTATAGCACTTGCCTAGATATGAGGAAAGCTGTGCTAGGGAAAAACTTTCTAAACTTTCCTGGGTGCTTCCAATTCTGTTTCCTGTGAATGTGCCTGGGAAGATAGTAAGAAGATGGCCCAACTGCTTTGCCCCTTGCCACCCACATGGGCAACCAGGGTGGTGTCTCAGGCTCCCAGCTTTAGCCTGCCCCAAACCCTGCCATTTGAGGTCCAGTGGATGAAAGCTGTCTTTCTCTCCTTCTGTTTTTTAAAGTTTATTTATTTATTTGTTCTGAATGACTTATGGAATTACAGACAGAGGGAGAGACAGAAAGAGATATCTTTCATCCACTGGTTCATTCCCCAAATGGCTGCAATGGTCAGGTCTGGGGAGTCCACAGTTCGGAGCTAGAAATTTTTTCCTGGTCTCCAATGTGGGTGCAGGGGCCTAAGCACTTGGTACAACCTCTACTGCTTTCCCAGGCTATTAAGTCAGAAATAGAGCAGCTGGGGCACAAATTGGTGTCCATATGAAACGCCAGCACCACAGGCTGAGGCTTAAAGCACTATTGCCACGATGCATTGGAATTGTTATAGTAACAGCTATAGTAGGCTTCCAGTTGGCTTTTTAAAATCGGTGAAACTAAGGCAAACTTTTCATGTTGGTAACTAGTGTGTAGCAGCAGTGACACGACTGCCCTACCGTAGATCTTCATGAAGTCAGCATATTGGATGCATTCCAAATGATCTCTATTTAGTGTGTAGAGTTTTATCAGCTGCTGGTGATCTTCTATATTTAGCATTCAGCATTTGAGTAATATGCTGTTCTAGTTGCATCTTTACATGCCTGTTTGTGCCATTGTACTTTTCATTATAATTAAGCGTATAAATGCCATGAAACCAATAAAATGTGGTAATAAAAACTTACACAGATACATTGTATTTTGGAATCATCAAGGGAGACTTTGTGGCAATGAATTAACCCACATTACATTTTGTAGTGTCTGGTCTTGCCACCTCTCTCCAGCTCCCGAGTCCGGCGGCTCCTGCCAGTGTTGACCCTTGGAGTCAGCCACATGCTCAAGGGACTGGGTTCCCGCTACCCCAGTGGAAGACCTAGGTTTAGTTCCCAGCTTTGGCCACAGCCAGGTCTCTACATTGATGCTATTTGGGAAGTAATCCTGCAGACAACGTGCACATTCTATCTTTCTATAAATACAGTTTTAGTATGCTTTGAAGTCCTTTGAGCTTATAGGATATTTTGAAAACTTCCAAAATTTATGTTGTAAAAAAAAAAACTTATAATGCCCTTTAGTCTCCATTGTTTGCATTTTGAGAGCAAAAAAAAAAGCATGTTCTATTAATGTAGCTTTGCCCCTATCATATGCAAGATTATTTTTCAAAGGTCATGGAAAATAGAATTAAATTAATGTTGATGAAAATAATTCAAGTTCTTCACAATATATAATTTCTAAGGACTTCCTCAAGACCTCTCTGTAATGATGCCTGTTAGAACGTAGTGTGTAGGGGGGCACAAAAATACTGGGCAATGGAAAAGGTTACTGTGCAATACTGTGAGAATCTGAAACTGTTCTTTCAAGCTAATTTATGTTACTGCCCTGTTACAGCTTTCCCCAGGATAGGTTACTTGATCTGTCTGAATTTAAGTTGTGTTATTACTAGGAATAAGATGCAGACACTTTTCCTGAACCATTGTGGGAGTTAAGAGTCTGTAAGCATGGTACTTGGAATTAACAAGCACTCAGCCTCCACTCCCAGTGTTTAGGTGATAGAAAACTGATGGAAAGTCTTAAGGGAAAAATCAGTGGCATAGCAGGTTAATCTTCTGCCTGCAAGCACTGGTTCATGTTCTGATCGCTCCACTTCTAATCCAGCACCTCTGTGGGAGAAGTAGAGCAGTTCACTTCCTGACGCCTGGCTTTGGTCTGGCTTTGGTGGCTATTTGGGCAGTGAACAGCATATGGAAAGGAACTCTTCTGTTGCTTTCCTTCTGCCTCCATGCCCCCTGATCTTTCAGATCCCTCTTCCGTCTCTCTGTAAATGTTAATACAAGCTAGTGTTGTCAAGCAGTGGTTAAGGTGACACTTGCAGCACCAGCCTGCCCCAGCAGAGTGCTAGTCTGAGTCCGGTTGTTCTGTTTCCCATCCATCTGCCTCGCTGCTAGTGCACCTGGAGAGACAGCTGAAGATGGCCAACTCTTGGCCCTGAGCATCCAAGTGCGATTGGGTCCTAGGTTTGTATTTTGGGTCTTATACTGTTCTGGATATACATCTATATATATTTAAGATTGATTTTTTTTTTTAATTTATTTGAAAGGCAGAGCTACAGAAAGAGGGAGACACAGGTCTTCCATCCACTGGTTCACTCCCTAAATTACTGCACTTGCTGGAACTAGGCCCTTCTGAAGAGAGGCATCAGAAGTGTTTCCATGGGAGCAGGAGCCCAAGCACTTAGAACATCCTCCACTGCTTCCTCTGGCACATTAGCAGGAAGCTGGATTGGAAGGAGCTGCCAGGACTTGCTTCACATTCATCTGAGATGCTGGCGCCACAGGGTAGCTGTACCCGCTAATCCACAGCACTGGGCCTGTATATTTACATAATCGTAGAAATTGTTCTTGAATGCAGAGGTAGGAGAAATTGGAGCTGCACACAGATGGGAATTTTACACAGTGCTGTATTTGAGCTGAGCTTTGTCCTACTGCTTGAACTTGCAGGGGAGACGACAACACGGGAGCTGCAGGCTGGTTTTGTTAATTGTTTTTAAATGCCTGAAGGGGCCAATGTGATGTGGCAAGTCAAGCCAGTGCTCGTACCTCCAGCATCTGAGGCCTACCTGCTTTCTTTTACATTTAGTTTCCTGCTAATGTACCTGGGCCACTGCCAGGCAGTCCTGACATGGTACCTTAGCTGCCAAAGTCCTCGCCTTGAGCACAGCAGGA